ATTACAAGCTTGGTTTTGGAAAGATTGAGTTTGAGGTAGTGGTGTGACATCCATGCTGATATGTCTCTTAGTAGATATGCGATACGTGAGGAGATTGAGGGGGTGAGCTGGAGAGTGGATAGATAGATCTGGGTGTCATCAGCATAAAGGTGGTAATGGAAGCCATGGGAGGTTATCAGTTGGCCCAGGGAGGAGGTGTAGAGAGAGAAAAGGAGGGGCCCAAGGACAGAGCCTTGGGGTACCTCAACAGAAAGAGGGAGAGGTGCGGAGGAGAAGTTGTTGTATGTGATGCTGAAAGTGCACTGAGAAAGGTAAGAGGAGAACAAGGAGAGAGCAGAGTCACGGAGGCCAATGGAGTGGAGTTTACTGAGGAGTAGCGGGTGGTCAACTGTCAAAGGCAGCGGATAGGTCTAGGAGTATGAGTATGGAGTAATGGCCATTCGTTTTAACAGTTAGTAGGTTGTTAGTTTGTTTTAGTAGGGCAGTTTCAGTGGAATGTTGTGGGTGGAAGCCAGACTGTAGGGGATCAAGAAGGTTGTTGTCGGTGAGGTAGCAGTTCAAATGGTTGTGAACAAGGCGCTTGAGAAGCTTGGAGGCAATGGGAGCAGGGAGATGGGTCTTAAGTTATTCAAACAGGTGGGGTCCAGTGAGGGATTTTTAAGTATGGGGGTAAACAGTGCATGTTTGAGCGGGGAGGGAAAGGTGCCCATGGAGAGTGAGAGGTTGAAGATGTGGGTCAGAGAGTTTAGGATAGAGCAGGAAGGAGGCTGCAATAATCGTGAGGGGACAGGGTCCAGGGGACATGCGGTGAAGTAAGCCTTGGATAGGAGTTTGGTAACTTCCTCGGTGGTAACAGGGTCGAAGGAGGAGAGGGTTGAGTGTGGTTGCTGGTATGTTGGTTGGAGGAGAAAGCTTGACACTGGAGATCTCACCACGAATTGTGTCGATCTTGTTCTTGAAGAGACTGGCAATCTTCTGTGCAGTAAGTTGGTAGGTGAAGGCAGTAGGGGTGGAGTAAGGAATTAAGGATAGAAACGAGTTGATGAGGATTGGATGAGAGGGTTTCTATGAGAGTGTTGTAGTAGGTTTGTTCAGCAGCGTGGAGGCCAGAGGTGTATTTGAGAAGGGCGGATTTGTAGAGGGTAAAGCCTTGCAGGGTTTTAGTTTTACGCCATGCTCGCTCAAGAGCACGGCTGCATCTCTTGAGACTTCTGGTGTCATCTGTGTGCTAGGGTTGTGACAGGCAAGGCCTGGTTTTGCATTTTGAGAGAGGAGCAAGTGCATCCAGGGAGGATGATAATTGTTGTAAGAAGATGTGGCCAGGTCTGGCCAGGACAGGGGTGCAATTTTATCATAAAGACAATCAGTAGCAGAGTGAAGAAGGTGAGGGCTGAGGTGGTGGAGGTTTCTACGGGTAACGGTTTGCTGGTTGGAGGCATGGGAGGTAGGAGACAGGGAGAGTGTGACGCTGATAAGGTTGTGATCAGAGAGAGGAAAAGGGGTATTAGAGAGGTTGCAGGGAGTGCAAAGATGGGAGAATACAAGGTCGAAGGTGTTGCCATTAGAGTGGCAGGTGGACACGTGTCCATTGTGTTAGGTTAAAAGAGGAAGTTAGGTTAAGTAGTTGAAAAGTGGCTGAGGTGTTAACATTGACTGGGATGTTAAAGTCACCGAGGATGATGGTAGGCACCTCAGAGAGAAAGTATGGTAACCATGCCGAGAAGTCATCAAGAAAGTATGAAACTGGGCCTGGAGGCCAGTAGATGCCTGCGATCTTCAGACAAACAGGAGAAAAGAGACAATTACAGTGCACTTCAAAAGAGCAGAGGGACAGAGAGGGAGGTGTAGGAAGAACCTGGAACGTGCTCTGTGGGGAAAGAAGAGGTCCAGCTCTGCCCCCTTTTCGTCCACTGGGTCTGGGTGACTGAGTCCAGAGAAGGCCACCATTGGAGAGTGCAGCTGAGGAGACAGAGTCTAATGAAAGGCTGATGACCGCTGTGGCCAGGTGCGAAAGTCCAGAAAGCAGTAAATCTGTGTTCCAGGCATTCATCCCGAGGCATTTACTGCTCTAAAGTTTATTTACAAAAAAAAATATCCACTGTGTCTATATATGTATATTGCTGGCCTTCAGCTTCTCAGGTACCTACGTATGTTCTTCCCATGTAGCCGGCTTTATGTCTTGATCCCTGTTTATTCCTTGCAGTGAGAAAGTCTGTCTTGCTGGTACATTGAAGTCTTGGGAGAATTGCACAGCTAAGCCCTGCGCTGAATCGCACAAACAAAAGGTCTCAGGATATTTGATTGTACCATTTCAAGAAGCACTTTGTATGTAAATACGCACGCCTTTGGTAGACGACACAATCAAACCTAACAGATCCTGTGGTCTTTTTGCCCGGTGTGTAGGAAAACACGGGCCCACCTTCTCCAAACAAACAACAATTTCAGCTGCTGCAGGCGTAGGAAACCCTGCCAGTTATCCATGTGAAACACACAAGGAACTTTTCTGACCACGTACACTTGATGGAGGACACTGCTAATGTGTGTGCAGATCGATTAAGTAAAATGAGGGGCGCCAAAGGAGAAGACAGAGAAATTTTAATTATAAAAAGTCTATATTATTTAGAATAAACCGGCTGTCTAATGGTGCTCAGTTCACTTTTAAAGCGGTTGTGAACCTCAGACATGAAATATGAACAAAGCATATCCCTCTACCAGTGGCGTCTCGAGGCAGGTGTGGGGGGTGCGGTCCGCACCGGGTGACACAGACCGCACGGGGTGACACCGGACCTGCTCCACAAAAAGGTAAGTTGTAAAGCAAGCCGACGATTCCCACAGGATGGATCCGATCCATTCTGCGGGGATTGTCGGCTTTCTTTACAACTTACCTTTTCTTGGAGTGGGTCTGGTGTCACCCCGTATAGGTTGCATGCCGATGATCCTCGTCGGCATGCAACCTATACAGGGTGACACCGGACCCACTCCAAGAAAAGGTAAGTTGTAAAGAAAGCCGACGATCCCCGCAGGATGCATCGGATCTGTGGATTGACCATAATGGATCGGAGTCCGATCCATTATACTCAATCCACAGATCCAATCCATCCTACAAGGATAGTCGAAGGGGGTGTCACCAAGTGTTACCGCACCGGGTGACACCTACCCTAGGGATGCCTCTGCCCTCTACAGTGTGTATTTGTCTCAATCAAGAGCACTGACTGTCATTTCTGTCTGCTGCTTCATTCGTCTGCTATCTGCATGAGTCACTTTCCTGACACCAAGAGAAAAATGGTGACGGGAGGGAGCACCAGCACACAGCCTGTGAGTCACAGCCTCAGCTCTGTTCCTGAGAACTGTGTGAAAGAGAGTGTGTCCCTGCCCTCCAATCGCCTCTTACTGAGGTCTGCAGTGTATAATTTCAGCTTTCTGCCCTTTGTTTCTCACAGCTCAGACAAGCTTTATAAATTGCAGACTTTGAATGGACGTGGAGAAGAGAAGACTGCAGGTAAACAGGTACAACTTATGTAGAAGGATTTGGGCTAAATTTGGCCTCCACCACTCCTCTCTCCAGTCTTCTTTGTGACCCTCAGTTGGTTTAGGATGCTCTTAATCTGCTTTACGTTGCTTAACCCTTTCATGATGGAGGGTAAAGCAAATTCTAACACCTGAACACAGTTTTGCAACTTTAACATGTAAAACAGTACATATCATCAACTACTTTGTGTATCCGGGTGAGATATACTGCATTTTTAAAGGACAAATTGGGCTTTTATTTGGTAAAAAATGGTAATAGATATTGTAGGATATTGTATATACAGGTGTACCTCCATTTAGGAATTTAAGTTGTTCTGCGGGACATTTCATATTGCAATAAAGTCGTAAACCGAAACGGGGTTTCCCATAGGAATGCATTGAAATCCAATTAATCCATTCTGGAGGTCAGAAAAAAGTTAATAAAAGTCTTTTATCTGTTCAAAACTCTTTATAAAGTGCATTTTAAAGGCATAAATACTAGGGACGCACTGAAATTTTGGCCACCGAAACATATCGGCCGAATATAGCCCTATCGGCATTCTTCCAATAGGAAAAAATTAACCGATACAGGAGACTGTGTGTACTGCAGATCTGAGGGGGGGGCGGCGGAGAAAGGCAAGAGAGGAGCAGTGTATACAGTGACTGGCTGTCACTATAGGTCAGTGGCAGTTATTAAATGTAATTACCACCGGCTTTTTTTTTCTTCACTATAGCTCAGAGAATCAGCTGTCACTTTCCCCCCAGCTGAAAGAAACAAAGCTGCCTGTTTATTTCTCCGAGTTAAAAGAAACAATGTTTCCTTTTAGTTTCTTTCTCGAGATAAAAGAAACAAAGTTTCCTTTAGCTCCGGAGAAAGTGACAGCTAGTTCTGTGAGCTATACTGAAGAAAAGAAAAAGCCGGCAATTGCATCTAAAAATCGGCACCGACATACACTTCGTATTGCGAAAAAAAAATTTGTAAACCGAGGCATAATTTTCAATGGATTTTCATTTGTCAGCCAAAAATTACGTTAACCGAGGCGTTCGTAAACCGAGGTACACACGTGTGTGTGTGTGTGTGTGTGTATATATATATATATATATATATGGTGTATATTCATGTTTTTGACCAAGAGGATAGCCAAGGACTCCTTACTATGTTAATTTATGCACGTGGTAATTAGTTTACCTTTGTTATGTTGGGTTAACCCGTTTTTGAATAAATATGTGGAGAGTCAGGCGGAACTTCAGAGCAGGTTATTTGCAAATCTACCAGCATTGTAAAATGCAAGTTTGTCTGATTAGATTTGGAAAGGTCTTAAATACTCATACTGTACTTGTTTATGGTGAAGAGAATTTAAATGTGGGTGTCGTGTCCACCTTTGTACAAGGATGTTAAAGATTGCAGTTTTGCCATAAGGAAGACAAGGAGGATCTCTTTAACTTTTTAATTAAAATCTAAGGTGACCTAGGTCTAGACACATTGTTTTAGGCTAGGTTCACATATGTGCGGGTGGTGCGGCTGCGGATCCGCACAAAAATCCGTGCAGCTGCACCACCCGCACAGAGGAATGCGGACCCGTGGGCGGGTGCCATTAGTTCTAAGGCTAGGTTCACATGTGCGGGTGGTACGGCTGCGGATCCGCATGAAAATCCGTGCAGCTGCACCACCCGCACAGAGGAATGCGGACCCGTGGGCGGGTGCCACTAGTTCTAAGGCTATGTTCACATATGTGCGGGTGGTGCGGCTGCGGATCCGCATGAAAATCCGTGCAGCTGCACCACCCGCACAGAGGAGTGTGGACCGGCGGGTGGATGCCATTAGTTCTAATGGCACACCGCCCGCACTGGAAAATGCATCCGTACTGGGAACCGAGGTTCATGTGTGGGCTGCATTTTCAGAAGTGCAGGGACTTCTTCCCTGCATGTCACGGGGCACGGGAGTCCATTCAAATGAATGGGCTCTCGTGCCCGTGCAAAACGTGGCTCGCACGGCCGCATATATGTGAACCGGGGGTGAAACACATAAGATCAATTATATTCATAAAACCAACCAATCAGATTGCTCGACACTGGGCCAATGGGAAAAGGTGTATATTAGGGAAGGTTTTTTTTGGTTGAGTTGTCACAGGAGAAAGTGGGGACAGGAGAAAGTGGGTCCTCTGAAGGTGTCTGATGATTGTATGAATATTCTAAGTACCCCGTCATCTGCCTTGTCTGTACCTCTGTTTTATGGATTGTTTCTGAGCTGATTAAATGTATCTCTCTGGAAAAGAACTATTGAACTAGTTGCTGCGGGAAAATACATTTATAAATACACTCATCGTCATCCTCCACATGAGATAAGATAACAGACATATCCTGATTTTTATTTTATTTTCAAAGGAAAACTGGCAAAAATTTTAAAACGTAGTTATATTTCTTGCTATTACCATAACCTACCGCCAAAAATCAACTCAAAACAAATTCTTCTGCTCCCGATAAATGCAGTGATACCATCTATGTCTATGTTATTTGTTGTTTGTACCTATAGTAGGGCCCAGAAACAATAGAGCACATTTTGCTTTTTTTAGTCTAACTGAAACTCACACAAAATTTCAAAACTTTCTTTTAATCCTAGCTGACCCTGACCTTTAGCCCTAAACCATGACCTCTAACTCTGACCTACATCATACCCTAATGTAGCTATTTTTTCTTAATATTCTCTTCCCTGCGATACTCGACATTGTTTTTTTATAAACTAACACATCATTGTCTGGTTCGATGAATGTAGAAGCAATTCTCAATGAATTCTCAAGGTGCTCATCAGATACTTTGGTTCTAATTTTGCCCTTCGTGTGCTTCATCCTTGAATATAGTTGCTCACAAATATACAGTAGGTGGTGGCAAAATGACAGGAATAAAGCGTGATTGTGAAGAGTGGGAGATTCTTCTTTGGGAAGATAAAAGTCGAGTAAAGAGAATGTCAAATTTCATTCAGTTTGCCGTCAATGCTGCGCATACGCAACTGACATAATCAGACGGAGAACAAGGCAAAATCTTCCAAACAGCACATCTCCAAAAGCATTTAAAGGAAATTCCACATAAGTCTTTTATTAAAGCGGTTCTAAAGGCTCAAGATTTTTACCTATCAAAAA